GGAGTTGTCCTGAGGGGGAGGGGGTTCATAAAAGTCTGTAAAGCTGCTTCAACTGTAACTGTTCAGGAGGATTGTTGCTGAGCTGCTAATCATTCACTACCAAGGTCTGCTAATGGTTATGGACTGCACATGTAGGATCCACATGAGAACTGTCCTGCTGCTAGGCAGGTGCCATGACACTCCTGACAGCAGAATTTGAGTCTGGGTCTCTGCATCAATGACAGGACAGTACAGTGTGAACTGACCCTCTCCCAGACTCTTCCTAGTGCAGTCTATTGATAGTGAAATTGTGCATATCTGGATGCACCTAATGCACAGGAGAGCCTGACCCTGATGGAGCAGAGAGAGGTCATTTACTTGTGCTACAGAGAGAATGAAGGTGACTGTCTGTGGGTGAGTTAGAGAAGCAGCCTGCGTACTTTGCGATAAGGGCTTTGAGGAATGTTGCCTATTTTTGTGCCAGGGTTTGCACTGTGGGGACCCTGCACTGCCTTTACCTAGGATGCTTCAGCTTTGATAAAGGGAGAAACCTTCAGGGAGTTCCTCCTCCACACTTACTAGGGATGAGGGGGCACAGAGGTCATGAAAAGGAACTGAAGGTGACAGGAGTTGGTGGCTGAGGTGGAATCAAACTGCCTGCACCCTCTTAGCTTCTGCCTTTCCCTGTGCTTCCCTGGCCAGAGCCACAGCCAACATGCCTGTGCTTGCATGCTCGCAGTGGGTAGAGTGTGACCAGACCCCCAAAGGTAGCTTGTAATTCACCTCGTGGTACCATACCCTGACCTCACCTCCTTGCTAGCCTCCACCACAGTCAGCAGACTTTGTGGCAAATTGTCCTCCCCTTTTGCTCCCCTCTGTGCCACTCAGTCATTGCCAAAAGAGCAGAAGTTACCCATAAGCCCCTTGGTAAGGATTCCTCCATTGTGTGGGAGGGGAATCTCCAGCTGGCATGGGACTGGCACAGCAGTTCCAATGCATCTCTTCTCACAGTCCCTGCTGCCAGGGGCTTGTCAGGGACAGGAAAGTGAGATGGCTGGAGGGCACTGTACTGCTCCCAGCTGGTGCGTTGTTGGTTGGGGCTGAGTTTAGAGTGGGTCATGTACCAGGCCTGAGCTAGAGAAATAGGGTTATGGAAGGAGTGGTGATACTTCGTTTCTCTGCTTCTCCTCTCTTGGGCTGCTCTGGGTGACTGCACATGTGTGTCCCCTTTTAATACTCCTGTGCTGCATTCCCTTTGGCTTTCACAGGGGAAACAAAGGAGCAGCCAGAACACCTCTCCTGCAGTTCAGAAGGTGGCGGGGGAGGCTGCCCAACAGCTGTAGCCAGGAAAGGACAGCTGCTTCTCAGTGCACTCCCAGCTTGCATCAGAGCTGCTCCTCAAGGGCTGGAAGCAGTAGGAAGCCCCTACACCTCCTCCCTGTATCACTGGCAGTGATTTGGATTCCCCGTCATGATGGACACAGCTGAGGGCCTCAACTTGGACCCCACTGCTCCTGGGAAAGGGCTGCAAAAGACCCATCCCTGTTTTCTGACAAGAGTTTTGTGAAGTAAAATAATAGTGAAAAGGAGAAGCCCCTGCTTATGGTAACAAACCTTTTAAAAGGCAGATGGGGCTGTGGGGGCTGGAAGATTTTGCAGCAGCTGAGAAGTGACAGTTGAGGAGATCAGAGCTGGGAAATGTGAAAAGCAGCTTGGTCAGAGATGGAAGGAAAAGCTGAGTCTTTAGGGGAAGGAAAACAGGAGAGGGAGAGGAAAAGCAATCAAAGACGCTTAGACCAAGGGAAGACTTAACCCAGCATAGTCTGTGCAGAGGGAGAGGTGTAAAGTTGCAGGATGAGTCCAGGAGTGGAGGAGGAAACAAAGACCATGTGAAGGAGAGGATGTCCTCAACGTAAAGCAGGGGTGTCATGTACACGTCCTATGGGCTGGATCCAGCCTGCAGAGATGGGTCATCTGGCCCATGGCACTTCTCTGTGGCTCAGTGGTTCTCAACCTTTTTTGGAGATGAGGCACCCCTCATGGGACTTGAGGCACCCTTCAGTAACTTTTGTGAATTGTGGCATCCAGTGTCAAAAAACAACTTGCATATATTACCTTCATACCATATATTGCACTGCTTACCCCCTGGCAGAGGGGCCAGGCAGTTGGGGTGGGGGATAGACCAGACCTTACTTATCTCCTCACACTTCCCTGTACCCTTCAAAGGAGCTGGTGGTGCCACTCGGTGCCACAGCACCAGGTTGAGAATCACTGCTCTGGCTGGACAACTTACCTCCGGATCTGGCCCATGGGGCTCCTCACTGCAGCACCCAGAGCCACTGTGTTTGCATGGCCAGCACCCAGAGGGTTAGCACTGCCATGCTTTCTGTTCTTACCTCTATCTTTCCATGTGACCTTTAGCTAATTGCCCTGTGCCTCAGCTTTCCCATCTATAAGGAGGAAATGCACACAGACCTGGCGGGGGTGTTGTGAAACTGGACTAATGAGTAACTGTAGGAAAGGTGATTTTTTTTACTTCAGCTTTGATTAGCTTGATACTAGAAGGCTGCAGACACAATGATAGTATGTTATACCACACTATTAAAAAGGTTGTAAAAAAATAAGAGAGTGTAGGGAAGAGCCACAACAATTATTTGAGGGCTGGAGGAAAGTGGCAGACTTGAAGAGTTCAATCTGTTCAGTTTCTCTAAAGGAAGCTGGAGAGGTGATTTGATACAGCACACAGGTAATGCCACAGGGAGAAAATACTGGGTAATAAAAAGCAGAGAAAAGAATAACAAGAATCAGTGGCTGGAAGCCAAAGCCACACTGATTCAAATAAGACATTAGGTGCATATTTCAAGCACTGAGGATAATTATGCATTACAGCAAATTACCAAAGCAAAGCTGTATGCCTTTCTGGAAAATCAGATTTAGCCAAACGTAAATACAAATGCAGGAATAGCCCCTCCATTTTCTTATTGACAAGTAAAACAGACTGAGCTCTACATGTCTGTCACTCTAAGGCACTTGTTTCAGCCCACAAATATTCTCTGTGGCTGTTTTCTCCACCTTCCATGTGGCCTGAGATAGGCAGAAAGTCAGGCTAGATAGCCTTAGGCTCTCTGAATCTGTGCATTTCTGAATTCATTAATGTCTGAATGCCCAAAGAAAGCTTCACAAGGTAGGTGCTATAAAAATGCAAAGGATTATTTTTACTCTGGCTGTTTCTCCAGAGCATCCTGTGGAGCTGGGTGAGTGTCTCTGTATATCTTCTGTAGTATTTACTCAAGTGAAAAAAACCTGAGTTGATTGCTCTTTTTGTGCCTATCATCCATTCACTCTCCACCACTGTTCCAATGAGTGCATCTGCTCCCAGTCCATGGAAATAACAAATGGTAAAGGTTAAACAGCAACTTTGCGGTGAGCTCTGAAAAGTGGGCAGCACACTGTTAGACTGCCTCAGGAACAGACTGAGGCAGACGCGTGCTTTCAGAGCTTGCTCCTGGCTTGCTATTCCCGTCCCAGTCAAGACCCTTGCACCAGGTCTATACTAGACACTGGTACAACTCTGTTGAGGAGCAGTTCTGTGAAACAATAAGCTGAATGCCCTTGTGTACCGAGAGAAATGTAGCAGCCCTGTGAGAACTACTTTCTCCCCCTCCCACACAGCTACCACTGGCATGGTAAGCCCATGGAAGGGACCAAAGAGGCCCCTTTATGCAGCCTCACAAGCCAGGCAGCAGATTGTGAATATTATATAATGTCCTTAGAGAGGGAATTTTGAGTTCATAAATATTCTGTCATCAGAAACCCAGTTCTCAGAGTTCACGTTCCTCTGAGCAGAAGACAGAAACTGGTCCTCTGATCTATGCACCTAGTCCAAATTAACCCAGCTGTTCTCTGTGGCCAAAGGGATCAGGACTAGGAGCAATGGCCTCAAGCTGCAGCAGAGGAAATTCAGTTTGGAGAATAGGAAGAACTTCATGACTATAAAGGTGATCAAGTATTGGAACAGGCTACCTAGAGAAGTTCCAGAATCTCCATCTCTAGAAATTTTCAAGAGCAGATTACACAGACACTTGGCTAGGATGATTTAGCCAGGGATGATCCTGAGTGGGCTGAACTAGATGACCTCAGGACATCCCTTCCAGCCCTACTTCCCTATGATGTTATGAACAGCACTCACATAATGAAGGGCATGCAATAAGCTGCCCTTGAGTAGGGACCTACTTAATCCAGAGTTTTGTGGATTCTGCTGAATCAGCGAAATCCAAGGTTGTCCTAAAAAAACCTGTGAAATCAACAAAAAAAACCTTAATTTAAAAAAAAATGCTAGCTCCCCAGTGGGAGAATCACCCAGACCACAATGAGTAGCATAATGACATCTGTGAAATCCTAGGATGTCATGGGTTTGCTACACTAACGTGAGTGAGATTTGAACTCCTGAAAAACTCATGCCCTTAAGAATAAGCTTTTCTTAACTGGAAGGGTATGTAATAAACTGTGGATCTATATCACTGCCTTCTGCAGGATAGACTTTAGACAGCTCAGCTGAATGTCTTAGACCTTACTAGCTCACAGCTCATGGAGAAACTCCTGTTGCTCAAGGGATAAGCTCCAGTGCAACTGGGAGATGGGAGGATCTGAGCTCTGTTTCTGTTCATTTTAAAGCAACCATGGTGTTCAGTCAAGTGAGAAACGTTAAGCTCATGGAGCCTGTGGCTTATTTGTTAGTGTATGTTTCATTGAACAATGTACTTTCACTTAAAGGCATGTCTTTGAGCCAAAGTCCACCCTGATGTAGCTCCACTGACTTTAGTGTTACATTAAGAATTAATTTGGCCCTTTCAGCTTTTGGGGCAATGATCTGACATTGTTGTCTGGGTAGCACCTGTAGCACTTTGTGTGTGTGTATGCATGCAGCCTCAGAAGCCTATTGTTTTTTCTTTGGCTATATCCCTCCAGTGTCTATTTTTTGGGGGAGTCACAACCAGAGATTTCATGCAAACAAGAAGGAGCATAGGAAAATACATTCTTTATTATTCTTCTGTAACAACAAGCCAGAAATATAATATACCTTTTAAAAATCTTCTGTCTCTTGCCAAAGGAACCTCCGTTCAACCATTTTAGAAAATCTTGTCACTCTCCCTCAAATATTAATGAAAAAGAAAAAAGATTGCATGTGCCATCTGCTCCCTGCAGGAAGACTGCTGGGGGGAGGAGGAGCTGCACCTGGGGAGCCCATTACCAGAGGGTGCTAGTTGGACCTGGCTGCAGCAGGGAAACACTCTTCCTGAAGGCACCCATCTGTATGGAGGATGGTATGCCTGCCTTCACTGGAGGGACAAAGCTGGCAAGGTTCTCCAAGAGAAGCCATTCTGTGCCTGCTTGCAGAGGAGTGGAGCCCACTGCCCAAATACATGAGAGCAGCCCATTTACTGAGCACCCAAACAGCCCTGTGCTATGCAGTAGGCTAGACATCCTTCCCACTATGAGATGAGCTTAATTTCTGGCTATGTTGGAGGACCATGTTTCCCAGAAGTTTCTCATGGCTGTGGAGAAACCTGCATCCCAGCAAAGCCAATGTTCCCAGTGTGACAAGTCACTATAGAAGTACCTGTTCCCTAGCTGGGGTATAAGGGCCTGTTGCCCAGAAGGGCTCACAGCCCCAGTCCTTGTTTTCAGTCACCCATTGTCTTTCTATGTATTTACATTTCTTTGGGACCCAGCAGTGTCCAGCCCTTACTTTTCTCAAATGCTTCTCATTTTCTCCCCTGCCTTTCCCTGCCTCTCCTGTTTCTGGGTGGTTTCTAATCCTGGAAGTCCCAGTCTAGTGTTCACCAAGTCCTTTGCCATGCCAGTGAGAAATAAGAGGAGGTGAGGTTTAAGGTCACAATCAAACCCACAGCATAAGAAATGGAAAACTTACTAGCAAAAAAGAAAAAATTGTCCAGGGCAGGAGAGAGTGAGGGGGGATTTTTCCCTTTTCCTAACCAAACCTCCTCACCCCACCTTTTATTCACACACACTCATGCACTCACACATACCCCATTTGCTTTGTGCAATTGCTTGATCATTATTTGTTACAAGTAAAATATAGATCTATAAATATACAGCTCTGACTCAAGTTCCATTTCAAGTATGAGTGTGGAGTCCAGTGCGTTACATGGTAAGTTCCCTCAGGAAGTTGGGTCCATTGGGCAGAATCTAGTCCTGACTTACTGAGGATCTGGAGGTGCAGTAACACTTTTCCTGGCAAGAGAAGACCGTAGCACACCAGTTCTGCCCCTCAGAGTGGGCTACAGCTGAAGCAGAGGGTTGGGTGGGGTGATGGCAGGGTTACACAATGCATAGAGGAGAATAAGTCCACATTTCCTCCGTAGTGTTTCCACTTACCCTTCCATACACAGCACATGGAAAGGGATGGGGAAGTGTACCTTTAATCTGCCTCTCTCCTTCCTACTCCATGGTAACCTCCTTTCTGCTTCATGGGGAATATTTGCCTCTGTTCCTTCATCCCCTCAGGAAAATGAAATCAAATTGAACTTGTCTGGGGTTGTTCCAGGTCTTTGGATCTGGTGGATCTAGGCTGGGTAGAATGAATTCAGTCACTCCAAACTGTATATAAATACTTGGTAGTGCTCTTGCTTGACAGCATGGTAGGGACCACAAGGAATTGACATAGAATATGTTATTTCCACTGGAATCCAAGAGCAGGTCCAGGGACAGATAGCAAACCACTGGATGGCATCAGGAAACAATAGGAGAAGGAAGGAAGGGCTGTGACCTGACTATGCCCAGGTGCGGTGATTGCTGGCCTCTGTGTCTGGTTTACTGGAGAAATACCCTGCAAGTCTGGGCTAGCTGCCAGAGCATGTCATGACTGGAAGGATCACACCATCCACAAACATTGCAGCTGCATGACCTCTGGTGTCATCTTCCTATCCAAGGAATACCCACTGTGACGGGTTAGAGCAGGTTACCATGGCAATCCACACTCTCCCCTGGAGACAGCATTTTATCCCACTTCCAATGATATAAAATGAGTCCTTATGTTTGGTTTCTTTTTGCTTTTTTTAAATCAGTTTGAAAAGAGCTGAAGCAAAAATGAGACTCTGTGGGTTCTAAAATCTGGCTTGGGAAGAGTTTTCCTAAGTGACAGAGACTGTGCATGCTTGTGCCTGTGAGTACATGCATGTGCTTGCTTATATGTTCATCAGTACATTTGTGCACATGTGTGTGGAGAGTCTTGTATTTGTACAGGTTGTATAAGTGCCTGTGTGCAGCTGTGGCAGTGAACACATCTGTGTCAATGGGGCATGCTGACCCCATCACCCACCTCCTCGAACCTCTGCCTGGCTTCCCCTTGTCTAGCACATGAGGTACTAGTTTCCTGTCCTCCTCTCATGGCCCTCCATATCTCAGCCTCTCTGTATTAATCACAGCGCCCCTTCCCCACGCCACTTCCTTTGGTTAGGCAAGGCAGCTGTTGTGTGCATCCTCCCTCCCTGCTCTTCTCTGCATTGTCCCAACACATGGAATATGCATCCTGAGTTGGTCAGTCAGGTCCTTATTTAAATCCTTCCTGATGGCCCACTTCCTCTGCCACATCTACTAGATACTGGTGGACCAAGTCATCTCTAGTTACCTTACAAAAACATAACATGGATACAAAAATGTGTTTTGTCTTTATCATACTGTGCATGAGTCTTCACTAAGCAATGCTGCAAGTTGCCTGGCGCTGACTCTGCCCTTCCCCTCCCTGCCATCTGTGCCATGTCTGAAATCTCTCTGTGAGCCCCTTGGGGTGGGGAACATGTCTTTTGTCTGGATTCAGAGGTGCCAGGAACACTCCTAGGCACTGTTAAGTAATCTATGCATTATTATTGTGTATATGTGCAAGCAAGTAAATGTGGGCAGTCAGTGTACATGCAGTGATGTCTGTAGGCACAGGTGCATGACTGGCAGTGTGTGGGCTCAGTGTTTGCTGGCAGGGAATGGATGGAGCCTGTACTCACAGATCTTGAGTTAGGGGGCTGTATATGCCTCTTTCCAGCAGTGGACATGGTAAGGGGAATCTCCTTCTGACCCTGTTTCTCTCTCAGTGGACTCTTCATCAGGTTCTTCTTAAATGTGTAGGTGGTGGGGAGTATATTACCATGATGTGACAGCATGCACTGTGAGACGTATGCACTTGCCCTGGCATCTTGCTCATCATATCTGGAATTTGTACCCCACAGCTGCCTGCTTGTCTTGCCTGCAGAGGGAGGGTGCTGCAGAGCCATGTGGAATTTTGGAGGGAGTAGAGAGTGAAGCAGAGGTGATGAAGTCAGGATGACGGGCTCTTGGAAGGTGCTGGTTGTCCATGTAGCGGCTGTCCAAGGGGTACTCCATGCAAGCAGAAAGCATGGCAAGAACTTGAGGTCTGATCACAGTTTCACTTGGGAGAGCAGGAAGGTAGAAGGATACAAAGAGGCCTGATGCAGAGAAATGGAAATTAGAGCCAGGTGTCCTAACCCCAGAGACATGTTGCACTAGCTGGATGAGTGAAGTGACAGCACAGTCTGTCTGGGATGGCATAATGTCAGAGGATCCAGGCCTCACTGCACTCAGGTGCCCTGCTCACTCCTGTCCCTGGTATCCAAGAAGAGTTTCATGCCACTGAGGAGATTTGCTTTTGCTCTTCATGTTCACCCTCTGTGTCGCCCATTAGCGGCTGCCTCTTCTTCAGCTCTCGGTGATACTTGGCCATGAGGGAAGCATAAATGCAGCCATAGGCTGCTGCCACTACCATCATGATACACACAATGCCACACACAACCCCAGCTATGATCACGGTGCCAATGGCCCGGCGTACACTAACAGGCCGGTATCTCTGTTTCTGGGGACATACAACACTGGGTTCCACTTCTGGTTCTGGACCTGATTTGGTTTTTGAAGGAGTTGGGCTTCCTTTAGTGCACGGTGGGCCAGGATTGTCCAGCACAATTGAGCTGTTCTCATCTTCCAGCTGAGAACAATAGTTGAACATCTCCATGGGGACCATTCGCATGTCCTTCCCCCGTAGCTCCTTAGGCAGGGTACATGCCAGCTGGTCTATCTTCCCTCCTGCCCCAAAAGAGAAGAAGGGGTGATTTACAGCTGAGTGCCAAACAGAGCTAGTTTCAGTGCAATAAGTTTTGTTATTACAGTGTCATCATTGAGCACTTAGATGCACAGAGCTAGATCTTCAGCTGGTGTAAATCAGTTTAACTGTTTATATCAGTTGAGTATATGGAGCTGGGCCTTGCTATACTTATGAGGCTAAAATACGACCCCTATTGCATGAATACACAGTGAAGTGTGGATGGGTTCCAGAGAACCCTTCCACACCCCAAGAGGCAGCCAGAATCCAGCAATTTGTATTCCCAGTAGGCCTGGGTGGGAAAGGGCTGTGTGGAGTCACAACTTGGCCATTGGTCTCATATACTCTAGAGTTGGCAGGATGGAGACATGGCCTTATTCCATTCACTTTCAGGCTGGTTAGAGGTTGCATTCATAGCTTGAGTATGTGGTTCCGGTCTTCCAGCCTGGGAAGCATTCTGTCACTGGAGGCCAGATGGCTGCAACTGCTGCCACTGGAGGTTGCAGTATGCCACCATCTTCCCTTATGTAGACAGGACTCCAAAAGCTACATTAGTGCCTCTGGTGCATATAGTGTGTACATAGTAATGCTTTATAACTTACCATCCAATGATATTAAAGCATGTTAAAGCATAAGTTAAATAAGCCTAATACCTGTAGGTATTATTAGTCCCATTTTGCAGTTTGGGGCCTACAGAATGACAGGGGCAAGTCTCAACTTATCAGAATGGCAATAGCTGTGTTTGAGTTGCTGATCTCAAATCTTAGCTCTCCCATTGGCTTGCTGTGACAAAGCCTAGATCAGAAACACATGTTAAACCTCCCATTCCCATGTTCCAATCTAATAACTTGTTTGTACCCCCATACTTTGATAACCTTGAGTGAAAATGCTAAACCAGGCACTTCACTGTGCTAATGCCATTACTTTGGAAGAAAGAATATCCAGTGTATTCTGTGTGCTGGTAACCTTCACATCAAAGAATGAAGAAAAGAGGGTTGAAAAAAGCAAATGAGAGAAAAGAATAAAGGTGCTAATGTATTTGTTTGACTGTGCTCACAATAAACCATATTTGACATTGAAGCCTAGTAGTCATGCAGGCACATAACCCCTTCCCACCGTGGTCAAAATCAGTAGATGTAATGTGACTGTTGCCATTTTGATAATTTGAGGCCTGTTGCTTCTCTCATTGATTCCAGCAAGAACAGTCAATCCCTCTTCATTGCCCATTCTCACAATATATGTTTTTTCTTTGGAAGTGCCAGTTCCTAAAGTCACATCAATCTGAGAAAATCTCAGTTTTCATTGGGTTTTTTTTTGTTTCTAGCTTAATTTGTTGGAGGAAAAAAAGGCATGAAATGTAAACCCTAAAGATTCTAACATTCCAAGGCAAGTAAAATGAATTCTAGACCCCTTGATATTTAAGGAAAATTCACCTTTTTGAGGGGACCTGACAGCTGATTTTTCAGTGCTTGGATTTGGCAATAATAGATATCTTAAACCACACTCTAAAAGCATATAAACATTTCCAACATCTGCCTTACTAAAGGCAAAATTGATGCTTTATCAGCAATCTTTTTAGTTATGCTAACACAGGGAAGTATGTTGGAGAACTATTTTGAAGCGTAAAATGTATATATTTGTTCTCATGGTGCTAAATTTCCCAAGCTTTTTTGAGTTCTCCCTCTTCAAAAAAAATCACCTTTGCATTGGGAGGAAGTAGGAGAATGTCTTTGTATCTGAAAAGAGACTTTTAAAATGTAAACACCTTGTCAACCAAAATGATAGCCGGAGGTGACCCGAACAGGGTGTGGAGCTCAGGGCAAATCAACCTGTGTGGAGACCCACCCCCGGACACGAGGAAGCTGGCAGCAGATTTGGTGGCGGAGTGGGGTGCTGAGCAGCCAGACGTGAAGCTGGCAGCAGCACAGAGTTGCTGCGGCTGCTCTGCCCGGCTCTGTGGGGCCCCCCAAAGCTCGGGGCCCATGGCAATCGCTCCAATTCACCCCCACTTAGGGATGGCCCTGATGATAGCATTACTAAATTGTAGCATAACTATACTATAATACAGTATATCAAAGCACTGTCCCTCTTCTAAATTTTAGACCTCAGCCAAGGAAGTCAAGCCAGTACATGTCTTATGTGTCTGCTTGTCTGCATTTCTTTTCTGTCTACCTTTCTCTTTCTCCCTTCACTGCAAAGCCTACCAGTCATTTTTCAACCATGTAATTGGATCCCATTCCCCATGGCACCCACCTCGATAAGAGAACCATTCCATCCAGTGCTTGAAGTCTCTCAGGTTGCAGTCACATTCCCAAGGATTATCCCCAACTTGGAGCTGCTGAAGACTGACTAATGGTTCAAAGGTCACTCTGTCCAGGCTTTGTAGACGGTTAGACCTGAGGGAGAGTGAGCGGAGAGCGGGGAGGTCGTCAAAGATGCCTGAAGGTATCTGAGCAAGGCCGTTGATGGATAGGTCCAGCTGGCGTAGTAGGGCTGTGTGCTGCAGAAGATCCTTGTCCAGGGTCCTGATGCTGTTGTTTCTCAGCTGAAGTTCTGTGAGGTTCCCTAGGTCATTGAAGATCGTCTGAGGAAGCTGGTCCAAGAAGTTGTTGGAAAGATCCAGCCTCTGTAGGGCAGAGAGGTTGGAAAAAACAGGTCCTGGCAGTGTGCTTAGTTTGTTGTTGAGAAAGAGGAAGGTCCTGGTGTTTGTAGGAATGTCTGAGGGGATGGATGAGAGGCCCAGGCCACTACAGTCCACCTCCAGACTGCTGTTGTTACACTTGCAAGAGGAAGGGCAAGCAAAAAAGGACTCAGCAGCACACAAAGAGAACCAACAGCCAAGTACTGGGATAGGGGGCAGGGGCAGGGAGAGAAAGAGAGAGAGTATGTTAGAACAATGCTTATCCCTCTTCAATCCTTTACCCATTTTTGAATGCAGTTAAGGCTACAGCATGATCATCATCACAATGGAACTCTTCACAGCAGTGCCCTGCAGTAAAATGAGCTTCTCTCAGGTGTAGCCTTGTACTGCTGGCTAGATCACTGGCAACATGAACTTCCTCTTAGTATTTCTCTGGTTGATGTTTTGATGAGCTAGCAGGATGGGTAAGTAAACATCCTCACAGTCTCACTAGGCAGAAAGGTCAGTGACTCCCACTGCCTGATGCCAGAATGCTCTATGCGATTAGAACAGAGTAAAGTGGAGCATGAAGGGAAACATGGGCTAAAGAGGGACTCTCTCAAAATAGGAAGTTTTTTTTTTTTACCTTTTGCTGGCATATTTTAAAAAGGAGGCAGGCTAGAATTGCACCTTAAAGACTAAGTAAATCCTAGTTGCCTGCATTAGCTTTCATGAGCCTGAGCAAACTTCATCAGACGCTGTTATTTAAAAAATAAAAGATTATATTTTTCAAAGCCACACATTTTTCAGAAATGGGCATCTCAATTAAAACCTTTTCTTTTAAAATATCTTTTCTCAGTTCAGAGCCCATTCTCTGCTCAGACCAGGGCCTACAGAATATAATGCCTTGTGACTAAACCCTGCATCTGAGCCCAGCCCCACCTACTGTGGGGAAACTGGGCTATATCTCCTTAGCCAGTGAGGAAAAGAACCTACTTTGTAAGATTCAGGGGGTTGGGTAAGCATATAACATCTGGATCTGAGAAAACATTCCCATTTTGTGGGTGGTCAGAGTCTCACTAAGGAGCTAAACTCAACCTCTAAACTAGGTGAGTTCAGCTTGGGTCCATACTTTGCAGCTTTGGCCAAGCCCAGGGGGGAAAGGCCTTTGTGAGCATGTCTACACAAGACACTTAATGCTCATTGGACTAATTCTACTGTGCATTAGCACAGCTGGCAAAAACCATGCTCATGCACTAATGTGCAATAGATTTAGTCCAAAGAGCATTAAGCATCACACAAAAGCACAAATCTGTGCTAATGCGCAGTAGTTCCGATTACAGTCCATTAAGTTAGTACCTCTTATTACAGGTATTAAACTTAATGTGCCATAATTACGGTGCATGAATGAGCATGTAGACACATCCTGTGTGAGTTAAATGATATTAGAGAATGATCCAGTAAGGTAGTTTCTAGCCCATTGGAATAGCTATCCTTGGCTTTGCTGTCTCAGTGCTATCCAGTCAGTCCCCAGCCTGTACCATCCTAAGTGCAGGACTTCGCATTTGTCCTTATTGAACCTTATGAGATTTCTTTTGGTCTAGTCCTCCAATTTGTCAATGGCTATGATTCAGAGAGGGCTCTACAATTTGGAGGATTGGACCAAAAGAAATATGAGGTTCAATAAGGACAAGTGCAAAGTCCTGCGCTTAGAACAGAATAGTCCCATGCACTGATACAGGCTAGGGACTGACTGGCTAAGCAGCAGCTGTGTAGAAAAGGACCTGGGAGTTACAGTGAACAATAAGCTAAATATGAGCCAACAGTGTGCCCTTGTTGTGAAGAAGGCTAATGGCATACTGGCTGCATTAGTAGGGACATTGCCAGCAGATCACGGAAAGTGATTATTCCTTTTGTTTGGCACTGGTGAGGCCACATCTGCAGTACTACATCCAGCTTTGCCCCATCCCCACTACATAAAGGATATGGGCAAATTAGAGACAGTCCAGCAGAGGGCAGTGAAAATGGTGAGGGGGCTGGGGCACATGACATGAGGAGAGGCTGAGGGAACTAGGCTTATTTAGTCTAGAGAAGAAAAGAGTAAGAGGAGAGTTAATAGCAGCCTTCAATTACCTGAAGGGGGGTTCCAAACAGAACAAGGAGCAATGGTCTCAAGCTGCAGCAAGGGAAGTTTAGGTCAGATATCAAGAAAAACTTTCTCATGAGGAGGGTAGAAAAGCACTGGAACAGGCTACCCAGATAGGTTGGGGAATCTCCATCCTTGAAGGTTTTGAAAACCTAACTAGATAAAGCCTTGGGTGGGATGATATCATTTTTGCTGCTCCTGCTTTGAGCAGAGGGTTGGACTAGATGACCTCCTGAGGTCCCTTCTGACTCTAATTTTCTATGATTCTGTGAAGCCCACAGCCAACAACTCACAAAAACCTTTGCTCGCCTGAGCAGCTGGCAAACCTTGCAGTATGCTGACTGTGATGCACAGCCTACAAACTCCCTGGGGCATGGAAGGGCTCAGAAGAAAAAGTGCGAAGTCATGAGAAGCTGAGCCCACCTTCTCATAAGTAAAGTTTACACATGGCCTAGACAGGGGAGGGGAGAGAAGAGGGTATTGAATATATCTCAAAAGGGGCTGACAGCAGGCAGTTATTTCTCAATAGCATCCGCCTTCTGCAGAACTGGTCCTATTAGCCAAAAAAGAGCCACCATTGCAGGATATGGCAAAGATCTTGTAGCTGTGTAACACTTCTAGAATTCAAGCCAGAAAGGGAATATGTGGCTTTCAACATGGACACCTCAGTTCTGCAACAACACAGCACTACAACACTCACAACATGAGAATAAGCTCGTCTCAAGAGAGATGAATTGTAGTCATACTTAAGCAGTCATACTAACCAACACTAAAGTAGATTTATTCCTACTTCTTCCTAGGTTTGTTCATGTCCAGTCCTTTCTTCTCTTCACTTTCCTTGTAGAAGAACATGTTGCTCAGTGTCTTTAGAGTCACTGCTACAACATAAAAAACTATGGAACTCAACGAATGTGCAAGTTATTCCACCATTCTCTCTCTTGGATGGAATAGGATTCTCCTATCCTGTCTACTTGGTATAGGGACCAACACCCTAAGAGTTTTATACTAACCCCAAGGGACTTCTGGAAAGTGCCTGGGAAATATCTAGGAAAGGCAGTTGATAGAGGCAAGGATTTTGGAGGGGTAGGAACTGGAATAGCTACAAACTACACACTCTTGTGCAGGCACTCTTACTCTCATGTAATCTCAAAGCTTAATCTGTTTGTGGTCCATTTTATTGACTTGGTTCCAATCAACAGTGCTTCATTTTTACACAAATCCTGTGGCCTTAATCAGGTGTCCATTTGGTACACAGACTACCATTAACTCCAGTGTGAGTTTGCTGGACTTTGGACTGAGTGATGACTGAAAAAGGAACTTCAGGATTTGACTCATAGGAAGATTTACTCTCTAAGGGACCAGATTATGAGATAAGTCTGAAGAGAAGTCCTTGCTTTTCTTGTCTTTATCTTATCTCATTCCTTCAGAAATTCTTGTCTCAGTCAAGTGGGATCAAGTCTACTCAGTCCCAGGAGATCCTTATCAGACTGTGTTGTACTGGCTGTCCCCAATGTTAATTACAGCTCATCATTGCCAAATAGAAGGTAGATCTTTATCCTAAGCACCCATTGCCTTCTTGACATATCAAGGTTGGGTCAGGAGCACTGAGGCTGCCATAAAAGCAGATTGTAGCTTATACTCTGGGAGAGTGGCAGTGTTGTTTGGCTGGATGGTATTGAATTCCACTCAGAACACATCACTCTCTTGCTGGAAGATAGGGCTTGAAAGAACAAGAAAAAGACAGGAAGGGAGAAAGCCATGAGTCACTTGAGTGACCCTTCCTTTTCCTGGATGCCTGACAGAAGTATAGCATTAATAATAGATTGACAGCTGTGATGATGAGATAACATTTAGCCTCTTTGTACAGAGGGAAAGGTGAGAACACACTAGGTAATGCTATACAGGTGAGGCTGTGTTCTTGTCTCTGCACATACCTGCCTTCCAGTGGCCCCTGACTGATCTGCTCTGGGATTCCACCATTTGAGCTGGCCCTGGCAGGCAGGAGCATTATAATGAGAAGCTGCCTGTGGCTGAATTACTTGATTTACTCTAGGCCTCTGCACTAATGCAGGGCTTGCCAGAAGAGAGACATCATATTGACCACCCACAGAACTTTTGGAAATAAGGGGTCTGTGCCACTGTATTCAGAGTAAGGAAGAGGTCTGCTTTCATTCCCCTGTCCTTGGAGGATGGCCACAGGTGACTGGTAGGGGGAGGCACGTGCCTCCCCTGAGATTGACCCCCAAAAGTGGGGCAGTTTTGTTGCTATGTGGGTCAGCAGCGTGTTGGGGGGGAGGAAGGGCACTAAGCTGTGGCACAGAAGTATAGGAGTGGATATGGGGCTTTTGGCCTGCCCCTGGGCCCGCCCACAAATTGTGCCCCCCCCCTCCCCCCAGACTCAGGAGGCCACAGTCATCCCTGAGGATGACTCTGTGCTGAATGTGGGCTGAGGCCTGGAAACGCATTACGTCAGTGAGTGCCCAACACCACAGCCAATCAAAGCAGGGAAGTGGTAGACAAAACCTTAAATTTTCTTCCCAACAGGGAAGTGCAGTGCTGCACTCCCAGGGTCTGCATGCAGTGCACACTTGCACTGGGAGAAAGGTAATGTTACTTTGTTGGGTGTTCAGTGACCCTGCTAGGTGGTGGAAAGCTGATCCAGGAATATCAGGTTAGGTCAGGGCTCAATAGCCTGCCCCATAAATAATTTACACAGCAATCTAGTGAGCGAGGATGAATTACAAAGACAAGTCTCTAACAGAGAAGGGAATAATTCCTTCAACTCTTGTGCACTTGCAGCTCCAGGTCCAAATTTTAGGTGAAGGCTGCCTGCATGCTCATTAGCCTGTGCACATTCTTGAAAGTGCCCTCCATCCCTCTGCTGTGATTCCCAGAGTGTTGATTGCCATCCCTGAAGTGTCAGCCAGCTTGCTTTGGAGCACCCTAGTGGCATGTTTGCCACAGTCTGGGATGCTGGTGCAGCTGCCCCAGCATGAACTCTTCAGAAGGAAGAAGGATTAATTGAACTTGTATTTTATCAGTTGTGGCTGGGAGGCAAAAATCAGGATGTGGGTATATAGATTTTTTTCCATGTCTAGCAATGGTAGAATCACCACTCCATTTTAGCATGGCCACAGCTCCTTTCCTCCCAAATAGCCAGCATTCCTGCCAATGGACACAGATCAAACCTGCACCACAGGGAGAAAGCTGCTGTTTACAAGGTCTGGAGCTGATAGTGTCCTGTGTTGCCTTTTGTCAGTAATTGTGCCCTGGTTTCTTTCTCCCTGTTCCCCACCTGTCAGGACTGGTGAAACTGGAATTCAAACACCCATTAAGCTGCTGTACCACTTTAAGCTCTTTTATATACCATAGACAGCCAGCCTGACCAGTCACTCAGTGCCTGAGGATCTGGGAACTTGCTTAGATGTCTTAGTTCCTAGCTGCTCTCCACCCTACCCCTACACCCAGCACCCTGATTTCTTCCCAATCCCCTGAGAAGCAGAAATACTGTACACAGCACCCCATCACCCAAATGAGCAGCACTTACAACAGGCCTCTTGCCATGGCATGGAAAACCTGTTTCTCCACCAGTGGCCAGCACTCATAAACAGCATTATGGTCAGTGTTCTCTAGCGTGTCTTCACATCCACCAGGCAGCCTGGCACAGGTCTTCACAGGTCAGAAGAACAGTCTCAGCCTGGCAGACCCTAAAAGGAAAAGGAGAGCAGAAGCAGGTAGTTAGTCCTCAAGGCAATGGAGGAGACAGGAATGGACTTCAGGTTTGCCTTCCCAGTTAATGTTTTGCCTTTGACTTGGAAGGGGGAGGAAATTGGGGGGGGGGAAACACATCAGTTCCTTTTGGGAGGAGGGTAGAATGTGACTGAGACCCAGAAGGATGCAAAGTGAAACGAAGGATCAAGGTTAATTCAGAATGGAATAATGGTAAAATTGGGCTCTGTTCACTTGTGTGATGAGTTAACAGGTCTCTGCTTAGATTTTGATCAGTTTAAGTTGTCTGATGTGAATGCATCAACCATATTTTTGTCCTATGCCAGAGGTTAATATGAATTGGTGGGCTGACCCCCCTAGAGCAATAACCTTCTGCTCATTCCATCTCACCCACCTCAGCCTGACACCTCCCATATAGCCATTCTCTGCACTGAAGCCCCTAAGTCAGATTCACGGTGGGCTATCCCCTGGTAGCTGCTACATTCCCTTCCACTCTCACAAATGCTCCCTTTCCCTTTAGAGGTAAAATGGATGTAATGTCTACAGCAAGGATGTAATAACACAGCTCATCAGCTTGAGGTTTTCAGACTGCAGCAGCTGCAGGAGCTGAAGGGTGAGTGAGCAGAATAGGAGGAAAAGGGAGGGAGGGTGTGATTAAGGGGAAGAATTACCTCCCAATTAGAAGGAGGAAGAAATGCTCCTCCTAATTAAAAACCCAAAGACCATAAACTCTCCCCTGACAATAAGTGACTATGACAACAGGTCCTCCCCACCACGCCTTCTGTCTGGATAAAGAGTGAAGAAGGGTAGGGGGAAGTGCAGAAGACCCTTCTGTTTCTCTGTGCACCCTTTCAGGGGGAGGCCAGGGAATATTTTCCAGCAGCCACAGCAAGGGCTGGGGCTGGGGCTTGGAATGGAAGAATTCCCACCGATGCACAGGAACGTGCTGTGCTCTGTGCCCCTCCACTGGGCTCTGACAGTTTCCATAGCATTTTTTTTTAGATATGCACGTTAGACCGTTTGGGACACTCGCTCCCAGCACATGTTTATCAATCCCATTTGCCCACCCCACCTTCCCCATGGCTAATTTATTTTTGATGGGTGAGTAAAACACCCAGAGATATTTTAATTATTGCTGTCTGGGGAAGAAAAATGAGCAGATTGAGTGGATGGACTGGTACATTTTGCAAGGCTGCTATAGGTAATCGTATCAAACTGCTAATTCAAAAAGATACATTAACAGCAAGAGCAGCACCAAAAAGACTCCCCACTCCCCCCACCCCTAAAATTGTGCTGGAATGTCTTTTCTGCCTTCCCAAGCTGAAGGGAGAGCCTGTACAAATAGCTACTCTTATCCAATGTTTGCTTGCCTGGGTTCAGAGAGGGGTTTTCACCCCATCCTCTGCCCTCAGTAAGTCCATCTGTCTGTCCTTAACATGAAGAGCAATGGAAAGCCAGGAGCACTTACCTGGAGGGGCTCTGCCTGTAGGTGCTTCCACCCGACTCCCTGGGCACTGCCCAATTACAGTCTCTTCTCTCTCCCTCCTTGACTTTCTCTCCCAGCCAACAGGCTTTCTCTGTGTCCTATTTAACTTCACACACCACAGGAACAAACGGCAGAGTTAAGCTGACAGCCACAGAGACTTATCCGGCTGCTGGTATAGAGTTGATCGGTTTCAAATCCTGTTGTTGAATGATCCTGTCCTTCCCTTAGTCATTAGAGACTGTCTGGTACCCTCTGCCTGTCTTTTCCTCCCTACACTCCATTTAACTTTGCCTGTGTTATAGTTCCTTGTGCTGCTGCCTTTGGGCTGTTGTTTGATAACACCCAATCTGTATTGCCTGGCTCTGCTCCAAGCAAGGGTGCTGAGCTTTAAAAAAATTCTGCTTGCCTTGTGACCCCTCCCTTCAGTCCGTTACATACTGATATCACCCCACAGGATCCTCTGTGCAGTCCTTCCTCATCATCACCCCAATAACTAACCCATAGTGACGGTTCCAGGTAACTTTACAGTACCTGAGCAGTGTAAGAGTTTCTAATTCTGGTCCCCTGAGATCCTGCAGAGAGAGTCCTCTTCAGGTACTAAATTATAGTACCTCACAGGCTCCCTTTCCCATTCTACAGTGACAAGGCTCAGGTATACGTGTGGGGTGGGAGGAAAAGAGACGTATAAATAAGCTTTTTTTCTACCTTTCAAACGTATTGCAATGCATACTGGCATAGTGATTAACGCCTGTTCAGGCTTTAATTCTCTCTCTGTACTGCAGCAGGCACAAGAAGGGATGGATATTATGAACACATGGTTGTATAAAAACATATAATACATGTGTGTGTATCCATGTGCCCCTGTCTGAACACAAGATGTAGGCATAGGTATGACCACTCCTGAGTTACATCAGTTTGTGCGCATTTTGACTTTTGACATAAGCATGTATATGAGCATGGACACACACATACATATACACACTCAGTAAATATGATCTGTACATTTGTACATACATATGTGCAAGTACACAAATATAGATATATCTATCTATCTGTCTATCTCATGTGTCTTGTATGCACATGCAGACATACGTCCATGCTTGTACAGGGCTAGGGAGAGCTTCATATTATCACCTTTTACACACTAGACCACAGGACAGTGCTTACAGTTCCAGCTCAGGATACTGAGCTATTTCATGCCTGGCTTCAAGTTATGACTCTTAGAAAGGCGGAGAACTGAAGTACTCCTTCACTGTTTAGGGGATTCCATGTCTCTAGAGTTGTGAGGTAATCCTGAAGCACTTGCCTGTTTCCTTGAGCTGCTCTGGTGGCTGCTGTCAGGTGTGCCTAGGTATAGAAGTAACAGCAGGAGATACCATTTTCCTTTTGCAACCCTGGGAGGGTGTGAATCTCTGCAGGCCCCTGCCTGCTACCTCCACATGTTGTTTTAATAACACTCCACAATCCTAGCCAACACTACCTCCCCACTTTCAGTACTAGTGTTCACTGCTGTCAATGTGGATTTAATAAATGAACAACAGGCTTGCCCCAAGTGCCATCCACCTGCAACTCCCACTGACTGGCCTCTTAGAGTTGGTGGTGTGCAGCACACCTGAAACACCATTCAATAACACAACCATAGAAACTATTGCCCCCCTTTCATACAAAGGGATATGGAGGCATGGGGAGACCTTGTGACATGCTCATGATCAAAACTGGCCTATAATCAGGCAAAGAGTCCAGGAATATTTGGCTGTAATCATTCACCAGAGTTTATTACTTAACCATTAGATTGCAGGTCCATGGCCAGGCAACCTGTCTTGTTGGGATGGGCAGGGTGTATGGGGGATGTGTATTAAGGAAGCAGAGGTTGCAGAGGCTACAAGAAATGCCAGCAGTAGTTTAACAAACAAGTACACACACATACACCATGCCCCACCTTTCACAGCTGACTGTAAAGTCCTTCTCTACTGTTAAACTGCTTTAGCCTTTATCAGGAAACCAGATGGGTATGGGAGGGGTGGCGGATGCTTTAAGGAGATTATCTTTTTTTTCTTCCTCCAGGAGACTTTTGCTTCTGACAGTCCTATTTTATTATAACCTGAGACCCATGTGGGGGACTAGAAGATGATATCCCATGCCCCATGATTAAAGCATCTAGTTGTCTTTTTGTATTACCTCTGTCACCCATAAGAGAGCAAGTTTGGCTTCACAGGGGCAGGCAGATGCAGAAAACATGTGGTCTGATTAAAGCAATTAGAAAGCACATTAAACAATTGGCAGATGAATCCTAGAAGGAATTACTGCCTGCTTGCCACTTCCAGGTTGGGGTGGGTGACATGGGCGTGTGTGCCTGTCCCAAGAAACCTGACCATGTGCTGCAAAAATTGACCATGTTCAGATTTATATTTGCTCCCAATGCAGCCACACCCTTTCAGTTTATGATGGATTGGTTTATTTGTACTAAAATAGCATGCTGAGGGGCCGACCAAGATCAGACGTTCCCTGATACCTGTATGTTCACATATCCTCAGGGAGCTTACAGTTACAGTCTAAACTGGAACTTGCTTTCTGCAACCTTTCATGTTACTCACACACTCGCTTGTAGAAATTGTGTACCCTTGGAAAAGCATGTTTTAAATTCACACCAGAAACCAGCAGATCAGAGAAACAATATGGGAACAGAAACAGCACCATGCAACTTAGGCTGATCAGTCACAACTAAGCATTATAGCTCCAATAACCAGCTGTAAACAAAAGTATTGTCACATTACACTGAATAAGCTCACGGAAATGATAATGGTGGAATCTGCCAAGTCGCTTGCTGCCAATAATGAATTATGTTGCTCCCCTCAGTTCCCAAGTATATGCTGAGGAGAGAAAGTCTCTGGTCCTTCCTCCCATTGAATTCAGGCTCAGAACTGAAGTATGTCCTGTGACGTGCAAACATGATTATTGACTGAGGAAAGCGCTGCTCTGGGCAACAGGAGTTAACAATACTTGGCATTTGTATGGTACTTAACAGTCAAGGCTGTCCAAATGTTAAATTAAAATTTAGACCTACAGCATCCCTGTGAGAGAGATCAATAGCGTCGCCACTTCATACCTCGGTAAAGTGAGGCACAGAGACATGTAGGCATACGTTTTCAATGTGGCCACTAAGTTTGGCTGTCTCAAATTGTAGTTGCTCAGGTTATGACAGTTTTCTCACTAGTCTGGCATGAGCACCCAGCCTGGGAGTTCCCAGAAGTGCTCAGTGCCTTCAGCTCCCACTGAAATAATTCTGCTCAGCACCTCTGCAGTATTGGGCCTATCAAAGTTTTGCACTAAAAACACTGAGGTACCTGAGTAGAGACCTCCTTTGGAAATATGGGGTAAGTGAATTGCTTAAGGTCTCACCATGAGTCCATGGGAGAGCCAGGAATAAAACCAAGAGCTCTGGACTCCCAGGCTATTTGTTTATGCAAGATGCTGTTATTTTTATCCTCAGCTTCCAAAACCACCAGCAGTGAGATCAGAGAGGCTGAGGATGGTAGAGGTCTCAAGACTCAAAGAACCTAAAGAAAAATGTATAGAGCAGGTGGAGTGGAGGTGGATAGGAAAGACCCTGAGTGGCCAAAGATAACTACAATGCAGGATGCATCTGAGGCAGTAATGAGAGTAGTGAGGGTGGGGGAGACCGGGGATTGTCCAACTTTGGAGTGACAGAAAGGTCCCAAAGGAGTTTGGATGTGGTGCATGATGGAGACCCAGAATGGCAGGAATAGGAGAATAAGGGAAGCCACTGACATGGAGCAATCTACCTGTGTCTTTGCCAGCGTTTTTTAGAGTAATATTAAACACTACAGATAACATGTATGTCCTCTTGAGGGAAGGAATGATAGGAAGCTGAGAGGCAGACCTGGTGAAGAAGTGGGGGACTGGGTCTCATAAGCAGGTTCTCTGTCTCCCTCCTCTTCAGCACTGAGTGCAGAGAAGAGTTTTTATTCTCCTTGCTCCATTGAAAGAAAATGAATAGTAAAGTGAGGCAGAGAAGGGGATTCTATTAGAGGGCAGAGATAGCACTCTCTGTGATCCAGCCAGGAACAGTTGTATGTGGGTGGCAGCTTGTTACCAGGCCTGCCAGTTCTAATCCAAATCCCAGTTTCTCTTGCCTGCAGAGGGCAGAGCCTTCTCTGGAGCTTTAATTTCCTACAGGGGTTAATCCTGTGGTCAGCAGTGGCTCAGGCCTTTAATCCTCTCGTTCAGTCCCTTGGCAGAGGGAGCGCATCACTTGGCTCTCAGTGGGGCTGCTCCCTTTGCCCTCTGTGCACCCTGCACAAGCCTCTCACTCTGCGGACATTTACCATGCCCTGCCTTCATCCCATTAAGCCCTCCTGGTGAGTTTGAGATGGTGTTGCATGCCAGCTTGTGAGGACAGCTGCAGCAGGACAGCAGGAGGGGACACTGCTGTTCCCAAGTGGAGATGGAGGGATGAAACTCAAAGACCCAGGGCCAAGGAAGAGAGTGGTTCCCCTCCTCATTTAGACTGAGGGAACTTAGAGGGAGAGTGGCTGTATGCTTGCTGAGACAAAGAAATCCTCAGGCATCTCTGTCTATCCATTTCAGGAGCCCTTTCTTTCTCTGTACAGAGCAAAATACTCATATGAGGTGCAGAAGATCCAGCTGGTACTCGACTGTCTTGAGAACCTGGCCACTGTTATGACATGACTGGCTATTTTGGCACCTTGCTTTAGGCATCCAGCATTGGCCTCAATGCCACAGGGTTCCTAGAACACTAGGCCAGACATCTCCCCAGCAGGACAGTATGTCAGGGAATCTCCTTGGCACACTACTTGGCTTGAAGGAAGACAAAGGGATTTCCATATCAACACCTGCCAGTCCCTATTAAATCCTGCATGGGGCCTGGCATGTCCATTGTTAGCCCTCTTGCCTGATCCTCCTTGCTCCTGTGTGCCTTTGATGAACAGAGCAACTTATGCCTGCAAGCCTTTATGATTCAACATACACAAAATAACCCACAGCAGCAGGACCATCATGTCTGTTGTAGGCATAGGGTCTGCACTGACACAGTAACTAATTGCCTCTGTTCACATTCTGTGAACA